GGTTTATGTCCAGTTTCCCTGATCCATTGAGCAAATGCTGAGATGGCCCCTTGTTTTGCTTCTGGACGTAAATGTAGTTTCACATGCGCACGTTTTGTTGAACTCTCCTTTTGCTTGTAATGCTAATAGTAGAATAGTAGAGCGAGTTGATATTTTGTTAGCAATGCAGAAAAATCATACTTGCAATTCGTGTACCGGTCCAAATAAATTTTCTATAACTCAGGAACAAAAAAATATTTTTCAGATATTGTTAATAAAAATATTATAATATTTTTCAAATATTGCTAATCTTGCGATTTTTAAAATTTATTTTTATTTATTTATGTTAAACTTTTACTCATCTTTCGCCTATTTATAGTTAAAATGACGGGAAGGGATTCTAGAACTCAACAAAACGTGCGCAGATAATCTTTTCCCCCCTACGTCACATACAGTGTTTACTGTCTTTTTTTACTAAATAAATCTAAATCTCAATGTACAAGAAATGTCCTTAATTTATTTCATTATAATTTACAATTTTGTACATTTCCAAATTATTTTCTGAAAAATCGTGTCTTCTAACATCTAATATGTTTTAGGCAGGAAAAACTTCGTTCTTGTGAAAGGGAATTTCTTGCAAGAGTTTAAAGTGAGAGGTTTAAAGCCTCGTTCTAATTTAACAGTGTCGTGTGGCCCGCATGTTATCCAACATCGCTCTGAACGGGGTCTATCTGCCCAATCGGAGTGTACATTAAACGGCACTCGAGTGTCACAGACCAACTGAATATAGTACCAGTGTAAGTGATACAAACCGTTTTCTTAAATGAAAACTGTAAAAAGAGTAAATTTAAACAAATTGATAACATAAGAATCGTATTTTAAGCAATAAAACTATTAATCTAGCAGATTCGTTCTGTAAAATCCCAAAATGTGCAATTTATTTATTTGAGTCAAGAACAGTTACAAACTGTGTGTGACGTGCTATGGGGAGAAATTAAATTGAAGTTTCATTTATGTCCAGAAGCAAAACAAGGGGTCATCTCAGCATTTGCTTAAGGATCAGGGAAACTGGATGAAAACCTGATCGAGATGGGGGCCATCGACCCCAAAGCTCAAGTACAATACTTGTTAAAGGTTCTTTAGAATTATGCAATCCAAATGGTAAATAATGCACAAAATGTTGTTGTTAAAATTAATATTACTATCCTTTTAGATGCTCAGTATAGTCTATAATTGTATAGAAACAGTTGTACAGCAGAAAAGATTTTACATGGGACTTAAACTTTTGTATCGAATTTAATCGTTTAATGTCATCTGGCAAGATGTATAATAATGTACATGTATTGTGTGTGATTTTTTTGTAGTGAGCTGTTGATTCTGTCACCTGATGAATATGATTACTATGTCGAGTGTTGTAGTATAGATATCAGCGTTTGCTGAAAATATATTCCCGCCCTTAAGTAAGTTATTTTTAACAAAAAACACTGATTCATATATCATGAGACAAGGTAATGTAAAGACCTAGATTAGTAAAGAGAGGTGTTGCGGTAAGATATCTTTGGCATTTTTAAAATAATTAAAGATGTTGTCATTGCCAACAATGTTTTTTAATTCAATAGCAGCTTTCGATGGCTTAGCCATCATCATCAGTTGTCTTGTCTGCGGTAAGATATCTTTGGCATCGATATCTTTGGCATCGGCTTGGCCATCGAAAGCTGCTATTGAATTAAAAAACATTGTTGGCAATGACAACATCTTTAATTATTATAGTAAAGAGAGGCTTACAAGGATCACGTGGGTGGGATTTGCTTAATATTTGTATAATTCTTTTTTGTAATCAAAGAGTCTCGGAGCTATAAGATGCATTCCCCCAGAATATTATGCTATATCTCAGACAGAAATGAACATTCGCGAAATATACACAACGAGCAGTACGGAGGCTGACTGAATTTGAAATAATTCTGAAAGCGTATTATAAAGAACTTAATTTAGTGTTCAATTCATTTAAATGTACGTTCCATTAAAGGCTTGACTGAATTGAAAGACACAAAAATTTCGTTTATTTAACATCTGTCAATGGTACACCGTTCATTTACAATGGAGTACAGAGCTGTTTATTCGAAACGGAAAATTGCATTGAAAATTTTATCTTTTGATTTACTATTAACATGTTATTACGGAACCAATTTGAAATATCTGATTCTGTAGTATTTACGGTTTCTTTATTGCAAAGAATATTCGTATCATCGGCAACTCTTCTTCCGTTTCTAATCTTATTTCTAATCTAATTTTCAGACAACATAGTCCAAACTTGCAATTTTGCGCAGTAACCCCCAAAACAATCAATTTCGTGCAAAATAAAACCACACCTAAAATAATATTCGTTTCATGATTCAAAATTCTGCCAAGGTTTTATCCAATTTCAAGTTAGGAAAGAAAAGATGTAGTTACTCGGGAATCCGGTCTTTCTATAATAAACAATTTAAGGTAAAAACTGTACTGGAATATTTATGAAATATCAGATTATTGTATAGCGACTTATAAAATTACGATAACGATCTTCTCGAGTTCTAATTTATTTTTCAATTTTTTAAATAATTTTTCCTATCAGAGCTTTCATCGGGCCTCTTGACTTGTGTACGACACCCGTGCGGCGCTTGTCTAGCGCTGGCACTGACTACAAAGTACGTTCGTAGTATACTAATAGTATACATTCATTAGGTAGGCGGTGCCTACCTTGCCTACCCCAAGTACTATACGCGCAACTATTTCAGAAGGGGGGGGGGTGCGAGGAGAGGAGGGCTCTGGCTACGTCACGGCTTAAAAGGCCATACCAACTGTGGGCATGAATTTAACTCGCTGAAGCGTGCCACGAGAAATGCTACGATTGTTTTGAAAGTACGAGGTGGTTGTTGCCAGCATTGTAAATTGACACGTACCGTTCCGAGTCGGACCTATGTATCTCAACGTGCCGTGCTATTCAGCGCTGTATGAGGGCTAGGGAGCTCGTGTATCCAGAAAACTTGCGCGAATTTCGTAGTCGCCAGTGGCATCGGTACAAGTTGCGAGGTATGTTATATGTCATGCAACAAAACACGGATTATCAAATAGGTTTCAAATCGTTTCTAAAACGCTAATTTGTAATCGTATAACACTAGCTCTATTGTAAATAAAACCGTTTTATCTTATCACCGCCACCATCTCGCTTTTCAATACTGAACTTCTCAAATATCCAGCGCGACACTGTTGCGCAAATTTCAATTAAGTTTTGAGGATTGCTTGGAAGAAAATACAACAATACATTGAGATACAAATCATAGAATAGAGTAAAAAGTAAATTAATATTGGCGTTTTCAAGTTAGTAAATTATAATTAAAATTAATTTCATTTTTGAAATCCTTTTGATACATTTCTGTTCTCCAAAGAATTTTCTCGTAGCCCGTAGTTGATGGGACATCTCTATATATTTCATTAATTTCGAGCAGAAGTTTCGCAAAAACTACTGTTTTTTCAAACAAATGTACATGACCTTTTCAATAAGTTCAATTTTTTAAAACAGATTTTTTTAAAGTTTCTCTATCTTTCATTTTGTAGGTTCCAAATGTTAAGTTTTTGTCCTTTCCGAAAATTCGGAGATTTCAAAGAAAATTAGACTTGCGCCATTCTTTCAAGCGTCCCTTCTCATATCCATGGATAAAATTAAAGAAACAATTGAGCAGTTCTTGAGAAACTAATTTTTGTAGAAATTGCGTAAATTTCAAGGGCAAATTACTCAAAAACTACATTGTGTATAACCCTTTTTAAAGAACTTTTTGCAATTTTCAAAAAACAGAGCGATGCCCGAAAATGGAACAAGAAACCATATTTTTTACTGTCCCTTTGTACATATGAGGAGAAAGTTTATAATAATAATAATTTGGAGCGGTTCTTGAAAACAATATATAAAAATACCTATATTTTGCGCAAAATTACACAGAAATTACTCAAACTTTTGAAAAGTTGAACTTGACCTGATTTTAGTATGTCATTGCGGAACAGATTCCTGAAGAAGAAAAAAAAAATCTTCAATGTTATGGATGTAGGAAGACGCCCAAACAATTTAAAATTTTTGTAATGTTCGAAAAATCAAGGATTTTAGTGAAAATGATACCTGCACCATTCTCTTAAGTGTCCAATCCGAGAACAAGTTTTAATCGAAAAGTTTGGTCCCATTTTTAAAAATTTTGAAATTGTCCGGAGAATCTCATGTAAAGTATCCACCAAATTCCAAAATTAAAATATCGGCTTCAAAATCCAGGTATGGCGACATCAGACAAAACGATTGTGGCATATCAATTTTGGGGAAAATGGGCTGATCGGTTTACGCGCTAGCGTTGTGCCGGACGGCTAGACAGACGTTTTTGCCGTCAATCGATTTTTTCGGTCTCAAGGACCCATCAACACATGGTTTCTGGATACACCACCTGTGTTATAGGAATTTGTTTCTATATCTAGAACTGGATTTATCCACTTTTTCGTTACCAGGGCCCAGTGATAAGAATTTTTGTGTCGAAAATACGTCGTTTTCCGGCGCACAATTACAATACTTTCTCTTCTTTCGTTAGTAACGGTGAAAAAGTAAAAAAAATATGTATTGAAGGACTTATTTTTTAATCTGCCAGGGGCTACTGATGTTCTAAAATCGTCAGTGCACTTAGCTTATGGTAGGTACCGGCTAATTAATGCAAAATTTTAATGTTTATCTTCATATGAACTCTAATCGAATTTTGTTGCTATCTCTAAATAGTCCTCTATCTTCCATCTATCTCTAAATGTATCTACAAACAAAAATTGAAATTAATAAAAAGATATTTTTTTAATATTTTTTGTTCATGTAATAAACAAAATCTTTCAAAATCATTAATATCTAAAAATTATATGAATAATCAGTACATAAGTATAATGAGAGGAATGATGCTTGACACAAACAATTAGCATAGGTCAAGCATCGACCCTGCCTGTATGGGCCACCGATTCTTACTGTTTTCTGAAAGCCTTTTGGTTTTAGCCTCACACACACATGAGGAAAACAAATAGGAATTCTTCCTGGACGAAGTATCTGATAATACTATCGTTGTTTTATAGTTACACATTTATCATTGTTTCACAGTCATCCTGCTGTGTAATCTCCATCCCGGAAATCTGGGCCAACACCCTTCTGTGTTGGCAAAGCTGTGTGGGAGGATAGCGTTTAACATTTACAGTTCTTAACCGTTTACAAATGTTATGCTGTAGTGTAATTGTGACATATGTTTGTTTTATATTTACAGCTTAGATTCATTTTAATAGGGAAGAAAGACACATGTTTGGCAAAGTTTTACTTTCTCTAGTGGGGCAATACACGTGTCGAGGTGGTGGAAGTCATAGTACGTAGAATGTGACAGTAGGCCTGCGTATCAGTACGTATGACATTAGCTCCATTCACTTACTCCTGTTATCTATACATCTGCGTTTGCATATCCTCAAAATTAAATTTTAAAACAAATGGAGTCATTTAACAATATCTTTTATTAAACGAAGCAACATATGCGAAGGTTGTTTGTATGCATACCTGTGAACTTACGAAACTCCTTCACTTACAGAACGCGCCCGACCTGTCGCTGATTCTCTCGCACGTCAGTGACGTTTGTTTACGTATGATATCATCTGGGATGGGCGAGACTTAGAAATATGCGAATTACTGTGAGTGGAGTATGGAATTTTTATATTTTTTAGTGTAATCACGAAGGAAAACTTCGTCAAAAATGGGTAAGTCGTATTGATATTGTTTTCCGCGTGTACTACTTGGAGAATGTATGGAGAACAGTAGTGGTTATTTCGAAATAAATTTTGATGATGCGCATCATTTATCCTCCAGTGGAAACAAACCGACTTGAAGCAATGGTTGAGTTTGAATACATTGCTCAAGAGCAAGACGAACTCACAATTCATAAAGGAGACATCATAAAAGACATCAAAACTCAACCCGGAGGTTGGTGGGAAGGCACTTTAGGAGATAAAAGAGGAATGTTTCCTGACAATTTTGTGAGGGTAAGTGTTTAATTTTTTAAATAATTGTTAAATTGATTTTCAGGGGTTAAGAATCTCTGAAATATTTCTGTTTAATTAAAAAAAATGTTTGCACTAATATGTGTCATGAATAAATTAGTTACATACCCTGTCAAAATTTAATGATTTCATCATGATGACGGACATGCATGCAGGATGTCTGTTTAACATTTTTTTATGAGGTAGAATGTTACAACACATTTTATGTTTTACATGATAGTGAATGGTTAATACTAATGTAGATGGAACATTTTGTAATTTTACATGTCACTGTTGACTAATATTTATGAATAAAAATCTTTTAGCCCAAATTTGTTTTGCAGTTTGTGGAATCATTCTTGTATTTTCCATTCTATTTTGAGTTTGGCATGTTGTTTGTAATGAAATTCAGCTCTGTATGTTTTTCTGTCAGAAGGTACTAGTGTCCGTTTGGTTTTGAGGTTATACAGGTTGTATTTTCAGTTCTAGGTATTTGCATTTTTGCAAGGAGAAGATAAGCATTTTATTTTTCAATGATCAGTAGTGTCTTGTATATTTTCTCTAAATTGTCACGTTTTCATTGTCCATTCAAAACAATCTAAAGAGGATTGTCAAGTTAATAATTGAAGTATATTTAAATGATTGAGAAAGTAAATTCTTCATACCTCATAATAAATTATGATTGAATCAATTATTTTGTTCTTGCAGATTTGAGTTTAAAAGTGATTGAAATTTGGCCTTTCTAAAATTATATTTGTATATTGACTATTGAAAGGGTGATTCAAAGAGGAAAAGCGAAACATTCTACTAAAGCATTGAATTCTAAAAGGGCAACAGTGTAATGTTAGTTGGGTTATAATTTTCCAATAACATTGTGTTTCATTTTTGCAGGTACTGGCCGATTCAACAAAACATAATGCTTCACCTCCAGTCACATTAAGAACAGGTAAGGATGATTTTTTGTGTTTGTCAAACACATTCTATGGCTACGAAAAAAGTACACTTTTTGTGATGGATAATGCCCATATTTATTTTTGGATTAAACATATTTTCTATTTCTATAAAATTAGCTGAAGGGGAATAAGGTAGCAGTTTTATTGGTGTGAATTCAGTCACATTTGTCAAATTATTTTTATAAGTTATATCAGCAAAAGTGTTTCTATTATACCTTAATTTACTCTCTGAGCCTGAACGAGTGCAATTGAAAATTTCCAACTATATAATGTTTACTATTAATCTATTTGGTTTATTTCTGTCAGGGCACAAATTATTTTAATGTTTTTGTGAGTGTTTTACAGTACTGGTTGTGTATAAGTGACTCTGACAGTTCAGTGCACTGTTGTCGCACATTACTACTCGCATGACACCACCTCACCACCTACATCACTGATAAATGAAATCTCAAAACACCAACACTTATTGACAGGCTATGGCACGTCTTGATATAATGTTCATAATTTTCGCCGAAGCCGAACCTTATTGTCTCGGCAACTGTTTGTGAGTCAGATGACTGGCAACGCTGAACCTTGGCTGTAAGGATGTAAACAAATCCTCGCAAGCTGACTGCTTTAGAGCAGGTCACATGACATACCACAGCAGGTGGCGACAGAACTGTCAGTCGCTTATACGCTGCGTGTGCTGTTGTTTCGTTTTGTAGAAGTAAGGAGCAACATGAATTGCATACAATTTTGAGGTCTTTTTATATTATTTTAAATTATTTCTCATATTCTGTAGGCATTTTGATATATTTAGTAAACACAACCTTTTTCAACATAAATTCCCCATACTTTTGTTAATGTTTTTTTGCTTTTTGTCAATTTCGTTGGATAGTTATACTCACTCAGATATTATTTATTACTAATTTTTTGACAGATATTGTAAAGATCTGAAAATGAACATTGTACATTTACATTTTTGTAAAATCACTCTGAATTAAAATGACTAAATAACTTCAGGAAAGGATGTATCATCTAAAAATGTTACAGATAAAATATTTTTCCATTGTGGGGCAAAAAATTGTTTACTAATTTCCAGAATCTGGCCTTTTTTGGTTTACCTGTGAGACATTCATTATGTTTGCAAAAATAATTAACAAGACATTCTGAAATTCCTGTTTTGTTGCTTTCATTGAGTTCAGAAAGTTCCTTATCTTATTCATTGCATCTCTCGTTTACAATTTTCTGTATAAAAAATTGGAAATCTCCATTCAGTAAGGCCTCAGTAATTTGAACACCAAAAACCTGAACTGTCAAATTCCGGATTTGATTCTGGTGAAGAAAAAGACTGTGCTATGTGAATATTGTACATATGTAGCATGTGTTTGTTCAAATGCATTGAGAGCACTTAATAATTTTATTAAAACTAATGATTGTAGAAAATTATATAATTATATTATGTATAAATTATTGTGACCAATATATTAACTTCTGTAACCATTAGAATGAATTATCAATGATTTTAACAATTTTTTTAATGTTGAAGACATTACTGGTTTTTTTTTTTTTTTTTTGGTCATTTCAAAAATCTGCTCTATTTGATAATCTGGAAGAGGTTCTGTCCAATTTAATCCAGATTATTGACATTCTACTGTACTAAAGTGAATTCATACTAATTAGAATATTGTGATTAGGTACTGTTTTTTAATTTGTGTTTCGCTTTCATGTCCCATTTTAAATTAAAATATATCTTTGCTCTAAACTATCACATGAAATTTGTATTTCATGTTTTTTGATGGGAATGTTGTCAAGAATATGTAAAATTTATTGACTTGTGATATAAATCAATTTTAGCAATTGTGCAGCATGTTTTAGCAAATAAATATTAAATATAATTTTAATAGTGGTTTAAAATTATTTTCATATACCCAGTGCCGCTTGGGATATGGAATTGATTGCATAAATAACTTTCTTGTAAACATCAGTTTAACTGTTTATGTGGAATAAAGATGCATGCATTCATACAAACTCTCCAATAACATTACTTTTTTTTACACATAAATTTAAAATGATTGAAAGAATGCCGTTTTACATCTTTTGGTACTTGGTAGCTTATTAATAGCCGTATTGATTCCAGTGGAGGTAAAACAGTTGTGAAAAGAACAACCAAAATTTAAATGTTTACATTATTTCAACTTTCATATGTTCTTAAATGATTTTGTTTTGAAAGGTCTTCACAAAATAAACCTTTGTGAGGTATGTTTGAAATTGGTTTACACCTCCGGAAGAATTGTGTTTTCTTTTAAACCCCTTTTATCATTAATCAAATAATTAATGTTTGGTGTGGTGTCAATAAGGTTTTAATATTTTAGTATTGTGATAATTAATTGTAGTAAATTATTTCCAGTCAATGTCTCTGCAGACAGATCATAGCCATTAGATGCAGTTTAAATACATTGCTTTCCTCCATTTGAAAGAACAGTATTTTGTATTTATTATGAAGCAACTCTGAAATGTGGAATTCTTGAGGTGAAGATGTAATATTTGGTAATGTTACTCATGCAATGTGACTCGCTTCTTACATAATGATTTGTAATATACAAATAACGAAGGATAAAATGTTTTTGTATGAGGTGGATTGAAAAACCTGATTGGATTAATTTTTGATTGTAATAAATATCTACATTCTATGTATAAATTTCATTTTAAAGTTGTTTTATATGTAATTAGTGTATGTTTGAGTAATTGGGTAATTTTGTCTTGCAATTGGTCTTATTTGTGGCACAGATTAAAATAAATCTTCATTTTTAATATTGTTGATATTTATGATTCTGCTGTTTTTTTTTCAGTAAGTGGTCGAAGATGCAAAGTTTTATTCAGTTACCAACCTGTGAACGAAGATGAGTTGCAGTTAGAAGTGAATGATGTAATAGATATAATTGGTGAAGTTGAAGAAGGTTGGTGGAAGGGTAAATTAAGAGATGCTGTAAGTAGTAAAAATTCCTCTCATTGTTTTCTAGATCAAGAATGTGTTACCTATATTTTGTATGTCTGCTATTCACATTATTCATTACGTTGTGCATTCTGTTTTGTCATTTCTATTTTCCCTTTGGATTGGTTTCTACAAATTTCTACAAAATTTTGCATTGTGGTTTCTACAAAAAATTTATTCTACAAATTTAAAAAAATGAAAGTTAGTTTTTAACATGTGTAGAGTTTGTCATGCTTATGCAGCATCAGTAAGGATTGAAATTAAATTAATTTGAATTTTCTTTAATACTAAAGAACAAAGGTGTAACAGATGTTATTCTAATTTTAGGTGGGTGTTTTTCCTTCTAACTTTGTTACTGAAATCGGCGATTGTCCAGCAGACAGCAGTTCGCAAGCATCTGGTTCCAGTCACAAAAGAAATTCCAGAGTCCTGTGTGAGTTTTATTCACTTTTTCTTTTGTCTCTGCATTTTTGAAATGTTGTTTTATCTAAAAGGAGACTGTAACTTTGAAATGAATTTGACTGAAATGAGTGTACCTATGCAGGTACTAGTGCAGGTTTAAATCTGGTATGTGGCGTTCTCTCTCTCTTTTCTTATTTGATTGAAAGATATTCACTATTTGTACATGCTCAGGAAAAAACTGTTATCACACATTTGTTGCTGAAAGAAATAAAGAATTTGACCAATTTTGGGCTTCTGTTTTCATTAACTCAGTGGACAACACTGCTCCAATGAGCTAACAAGCAGTCTTGCTGCAAATAACGCAAGAGAATGTTGTCATTACTGCCTGACATCTGCTTACCAGTTATGTCTGGCAGTTTGCTGGATGGAAATCAATTGTTCATTTTATGTTATACTTTATCTGTATATTTATTTTCTTAATTCATCATTTACTTGTTATAAAGTAAGTTGAAAAATTAGTTAGAAAATTGTTATGTAGGAAGCTTTGTCATGTTGGAAAGATTTTGGGGATGTGTCAGTTTTGACACAGACGCATTGAAAGGAGTACAACAAAGAGCACACAAGAGAAATAACAAAATTACTAAATCTTAGTAATTGCAGCAGTCTCCACCTCCCATCTAATTTTTGAATACCCTGCTGCAGATAATGTAAGAAACTTCTGAAAATGAAAGGAACCCTAAAATCACTGATCGGTCCCACAGTCAGGTGTGCCAAAGTGGTAAAATATAGACATTACAAAACTGAACAGTCTTATGTAGCTAAGAATATTGTATTAGTACCTTATATTAAACATAATGTTGTGAAAATGTAATGAAGTTTGACATAATTATTTTTGGTAAAATTGCAACTACGTTATAATTGTATAATGATAGTGGTTGCTGGTGACCTAGATGTTATAAAGCAACCTTAAATAAATATATAAATGAAGTAAAAAAAAATTAAAAATGATAGTATGGTTTGTCGATCTTCCTTAGGTGAGGAGCCAGTTATGTTGCTTAAGTCAGTGTCACCCAGGACAAAACTAAAGGTATCATTTTTCACACCCCCCCCCATAAATTAAATGTAAAAATATCTATTACTTAATAGTGAATGAATATGAATTACTAAATTTATACTTTTTTCAATAAAAATACGAGTATATTTGCATGGGACAATTATTTATAATACATTAAAAACTGTTTGTAATTCAGAATAATTCAAATATCATTTTTAAATAATCTAAAACAAGGTATAACTAAGGGCGGCAAACTTATCTATAATTTTATCAAAACCTATGCTTATGGCATAGATAAAGTAATCTTTGAAATTAAGACTCTTTGATCATTGATGAATAGACACTCTCTGCTTATAGTTTTGCATTTTAGTTACGTTATATCTTTTGTTTGCTTTTTTAGTATTTATGTTTTAAATGTATAACTAATAAATTAATGTACATACTTTTTAAATAAATCATTAAAATTATATAATTCCAACCATGAAATTTTCTAATTGGTGGCACCTCTAATGTGGTGTCACCTGGGACAGACTGTCTTCCCTCCCCCAACTCTTCCATTTTGTGGAATTCTGTTTTGAAGTATGTTATCAAGCTTTATGAAATAGGGGTATACTGCCCCCTTTACAGAATAATTGAAAGTTGCTAAAGAAAGTTAACTTTATGTGGATATTACAGGCATCCACATAGAGTTGAGTTTTTCAAAGTTGAAGAACTAGTGCCTGAAAGAATAAGTGCTCTACTATGTTGCCTTTCTGACCTTTAAAGGCCCCATGCAGTGTCATTAGCTTAAGAGTTTCGCAGGTGCTGTGCTAAATTGGAACTCGTCTCGCAGGAGCACTTGTTCCCATGTTGGTCATTTCTCTCACATTGGGCAGGGCATAGAGCGATTTTCATAAGAATGAAATGATTTTGACAGCTAGTCCAGGAAACGCACCTCTGAAGGTTCTGTGGTCGTTGTGTCCCTGAGCCTATCACTCTCCTTCCTCCACTCGCTCGTTTTCACTTGACTAACTTGTAAATTGCTTTGGCGCTCGCTTTTGTGATGTGCTCGTCTGAAAATGGAATGTGCCACAAGACATTTTTAAGACACATTTCCACATACCTATTTAAATTTCAATATTTCTTGGACTCGCATATGTACATATACCTCAGTGAAACTCTTAGACTTGTTTATGTCTTGACGAGAGCCGTAAACAAACACTGTAAGACGAGGCGCGGCTGAGCAGTTGCTGCAGTGGAGGGACATGTCCCTGAAATACATGTGATGCTCACTTGCTTAACAAACTGCCACTTTTGCTCATTCTTATAAAAATCGCTTTATAGAGCGATGTGTTAAAATTGTTCATGTTATGTTCAGGTTCCAATAACTCTTGATACTAGACCTTGAATTTGTATTGATAGTTTGTTTTGGGATTTAACTTAGCCAACTGAATCTATTCAACTTTCATTTTATTCTTAAAATGAAATTTAAAAAAATATTTTTTAAATAAAAATTGCATAAATTGTTCCCTGTAATAGACTTAGATTTTATTGCTGAATATTTATTCTTTGTTTCTCTTTCAGGTGACAGTGATAATCGTCCTTCATTAAGCTCTGATTCGTCACAGGCTGAGGCAGGGAAAACAGGTGAAGACAATGATGCCCCTGTCCTTCCTCCTAAACCAGGTAAAATATGGAAGAGATGTTTTCTAGAGTGCTATCAGGTCCTACAGGCACTTGGGCAAGTGAACGTGAAGACAATTTTTTGATAAAAAGTTAAGAATGTGTATGTTCTTTCCAATTTTTTTTAATTTTGTTCTTCAAATTAGAGGGGAAAAGGTTATAATAAAAAATTGTCTAGAAAAAGCTTCGTTTCATTGGAATTTATCAATTTCGAACCAAAATACTACAGTTAGAAACTACTTTTTAATTTTGAATTTAATTTCTTTGTATAAATAATATATATATAAAGGAAATTATTGTTTTATTTATATGTATATAGAATGGTAGAAGAAAAGTATGTTTCCTGATGCAGTGACTGAGTTTCCGATACTGCATCTTTTTATCTAATTTGTGGTGTTGGGTCTTTCTTTTAATTTGATTATAAAGTTTATCTTGATCATGAATGATAACACTCTTATTCTCTTCTCTTCCTGAATTCTTTTGCATCATCTCTGCTTTCCTTATCCCTTTTTATTTTTTTCTATGTAAAGAAATATTGCAATAAAGGAATTGATGAATAACATGTAAAATTTACGTTTTGCAGTGAAGGAAATGTGCCGTGTGCTGTTTCCTTATGAAGCTGCAAATAAAGATGAGCTCACTTTAAAGGAAGGTGATATCATTATGATCCTGTCAAAAGAGGTAGCTGATAAAGGATGGTGGAAGGGAGAATTACGAGGACGTGTTGGAGTCTTTCCTGACAATTTTGTTGAAATTATACAGGAAGAGGTGAGTCATTTGTTTACATTTAATGTATTATTACAAAATTTACTTGCTTATCACATTCAAGGAGTGTAATGAGATTTTTATTTTTATATTTACCGATTTTCTAGACAAGTACTACATTTGATAGAGAAATGGCACAATTGTGAGAGAGAAAACTGTACAGTATGATCAATGTCAAGTACATCAATGTTTTGTTGGTATGGTTGTTCTTGTAAAGTGTGTTATTGTTCTTGTGAAAGGTGTATTGTGCATTTCAAATATTATTTCTTGCTGACAATAATGTTTTGTTGTTTATTTTTGCCAGAATTTTTCAGAAGTTCACTTAATAGGAATTTATTCCTGATACTGGTGAAGATGAGGTGACATGATAGAGTGCATTAATCTATTAGGATATACCAGGATGTGTAGAATTGTTGTATGAGTGACTCTCTATTGAAAGATTTGTGAAAGGGCTTAGTTATTTTTTTAGAAAAAAAAACTTTATTATGTTTTGAAAAAAATTCCTTTCATTGCAGTAAGCCTCTGAAACACATTCTAAGCCTCTGAAAAAAAAAGGAGAGAGCTTTTCTTGCTCTGCAAACCACAAAGGCTGCCTTTGATGAACATTTATTCCCTTTTAAATATCTTTTTTGTTTTGTAAGTAAATAGGTGTGCAGGGGCTAATCTGGCAGATGAGGAAGGGCTTAATGAATTTTCTAAATTGCAGTCAAGAGCTTATGAGAAGGTATATAGCATCACAAGTAATATTTAAAAAAAAATAAGTTTTTAAAAATGGCATGTCTTCAAATAAAAATAAAATAAATTGAAGAGATGTATTAAAAAGTAGAAAAATAAAACTGAATTAAAAAGTCAACAATAAAATTTCAAGGGCTCGTTAATGGTAAACAATTGTGCACAAAATTCATTAATTAGTATTTGAAAACATTAAAAAAAATTCTCAACAGCTTCATAACACCTATTCATGAATACGATAGAGAAAACAATAAAAGTTATTGGTTAAAAATCTAAACTAAACCTCATTCCAGAACCCCAATTTGAAGTTACAATTACAGAAAAACACATCTCATCTGAATACTGTAATGGAAGATGAACAAGATAGATTTATAAGTAAAAGGTCTGTGACCTTTCAAAACGTGTTTTGGGAAAATTAGAAGCCAATATTCACGAAGATTTTAGAAGCCATATAAGTGATCTATACAGATTTTATAATAGCTGTTCACATAGTTAATCATGTCTTGATTTTGCAAAAACTATCAAATTGATATTCATAGATCTTTTTTGAGAAGGGTAGAAAATTATTTTAAGAGAATAGTATACAAAACATGAAATATAAAGCTTTTATATCAAGAGACATTACAGTAATGTCAGGAGTTCTCCAAGGATTCCACCTTGGATCATTGTTTGATTTAGTATTTGTAAATGATTTTAAGTTCAATTAAGTTTTTTTGTTGTTGAATTCTTATGAGAGAAAGAGGTTTTCCACTAAACAATGATCTGTAAATTTGCTGCTTGTCCAGACACGTTTGTTTTTACTAAAACCCTTACTGCACAGAAATTTCTTTTTTTTTTTTAATTTTAAAATTTTCTTTCAGTATAATGCTCTACTTACAGCCCTGGTTGATGTAAAATTATTTGTTCAACTTTTTATCGTGGTGGTTTTTTGCAACATGGGGATCAGGGGCTGAAATCAATGCAATATATGGAGGTTTTATATCATATGTTTAAAACGGAGGAAAATCCCTCCAATGTTATAAGGTTTTTGTGAAAATATAGGTTAACTTCGAACCATTCCATCAAAATTTAAAAAAGTCAATGGTAAAAAGTTTTTTGATATGAAAAATTGACCTAACAGCTATTTTCTGTTATGATACTGACCAAAACAGCTTTTTGGATAGAATCCAATGCACCTTATGCATTGAAATTTTGTGCAATTTCTGTGCACACTGCTATGATGTTTGCCATCAGTAGCAATCAAATGATCCTCTGCTTGGAATGGATTTCCTCAGAAACCATTGATATTCTTCTGGGCCACACTGCCCGTTGACTGAAGCATTCTGGTCCCATGAGTACAGTAAGAATGTACTGTGCACACACAGGCATGCCTCTACCCATTTGGCAATACAAGAGCAGCATACAGACAAAATCTGATGTGCGGCGAAAACCATATTTTACTTCTGATTTTTATCTAGCGTGCTGCAAACAGTTTGTTATTAAGGTCAAAGCCACCCATGTACCTGTTGTATTGTGGAATCAGTTAGTTGAGGAACAGTCTTTTATTTCTTCTCTTGGCAATTCCACCTAAGACATTGTCCTACTCTAAGCACTACTGTCATGACATTAGTTGCAATTGTCACCATCTATTGTCATCCTTCAGACCATGCATTCTTCCCCTAGTTTCTTTTTTTAAATATTTAAATGGTTACCTTTCAATACAGTCATAGCCCATTAGAAATTATATTCAGAAAAGTTGTAGACAACTAAACATTTAATTTAAAAGAAAATTATTTTGTTTTGAAAATGTCACTACTCTTGTATATTTTGCAATAACGAAATATGTGTAATTTTTCAAGAATTTATTCTCTTGTGTGAGTTTTTCAAATTCTTTTCAATTAAAATCAGCAATTTATATTTTGAGATTCCTATCTATTGGTAGCATGGCCAATGCAATCAGTCTTGTGACATATTGTCCCTTAGAAATTTTTTCTCTCTTTGAAGGCTGAAAGACATCTCTCTGCTTCAGAAGTGGTTTTTGGAATTATTGTAAGTAGTATTTCTATTAGTGTGATGATTTCACTGAATGTTTCTTCTAACTTGCACTCTTTGAGAAACTAATGCAAACCTAAGAGTGTGTGTTAATCTCATGAATTCCTGTGCACTGTAAATTGCTTCGAACTCCACACATTTTTTTTTTTAAACCTACGTAGGACCTGAATGCTGGCAATGAAAATTTTAACACTTCTATTTATTGATGCTGTTCACATCATCACTAAATTAATCTCATGTGCACTACAATGGACATTTTGAAAATTTAGAATAATTACTTTTAACTGTTTGATTACCTTTTGAAATTCCAAACATTACAGAAGCACCACATCTGAACTGTGGGTTTTGGGAGTTTCATTTATTAACTCTTCAAGAATGCAAGATTGCAATGTATTTACATTGCCGCAGGGGATTTACAATAGAATGGTGGCAAATCTGAAATTTTCAAAAATCAGAGGTAACCATGAAAATCGTACCCATGCCATGTGTATGTTAGTCTTTTCTTACAAGAAACAATTTGTAGCCGTTTCTGAGAAAATGTGCAGAGCGCTTTATGTAAACTACCCCCAAATTTTGAAGAATGTTTTTCAAAATCTCAAAGTTTTGACATAAGCCATATGGACAGGAGTTTTTTCAATTTGAAAAAAATCTTATGCATGGTTTCAGCGCTTGTAATGTTCACAGATGGATGGTCAGATGGACTTTTGAAAAAACGGCAGATTTTCAGTATCTAGGGACACCAAAACATGTATTTCCATTGAAATCTCAAAATCAATTTTCCACAGCATTTCATAATGTTCCCGATACTATGTGTACTACTCCATATATATGTACGTATAAAGAAAAGTAAAAATTATAATCTTAAATGGTATTTGAACGTTATCACCTAGTACTGTTTCACAGCTATCTACAAGTTTATTTCTCTATCGTTTCACAGTAATTAGAAAAATGTCAAACCTGAAAGAAGAAAATTCCTTTTTTTGTATGCAGTTGTAGGTGCCGTTGTTTCCCACTGTATTTCTTTCACACTTAACAGCAAATAGAAAATGGTCCTTTGAGTCTATAAGAGATGCGGAACAGCTGGTCAGGGCAATTAATCTCGTCATGGATAAGTTTGTACAAGAACAAGCAATCAATCATTGCCCTTGCATCACCTAAAGAAAGTTGCTCATCCTCTGAAGTGTGTCTTCTTAGTTGTGATCATAGATGGTCATTGGGTAACCAAGCCTGTGAGCCATAGTTTTCAAGAATCTATTTTGAACCTTTTCAAATATCATCTGCTGGTTGTCATAGCAGGGATTCCAAACTATGCAGTTGCATTGCAGAATGGCTCTGAGTATTGACTTATAAAGAAGCGAGATAGTGCCAGGATTTCTAAAAATTCGTGTGCTTCTCGAAATGAAGTTCAATCTTCTCACAGCCTTGTTAAAAGTTGCTGGAGAGCACATGTATGTAAAAAGAACCTTTGAATCGGAAGTGATGCCCCAGTCAGTCAGTGACGTGACAAACCTTGTCAAGAACCACATCAGGAATGTCAGTTTGTTCCAGGGAATACTTCCTAACAGATCATTTACAAGTATTCAAAATCATGTGATTGCAGTGACAACATTTGTTTAATTTGTCCTGGTTAGGCTGTAAAAAACAGGCATCTTCATGATTGCACACCTCCCTCAAAATCTTTGCATCTTTTGCATAAAGTAGAATCTTGCAGCACTCCAAAGCCTATTGTAAGTTGTTAATAAAGATGTTAAAGAGAAGTGGACAAAGATGAGACCCCTGCGGAATTCCAGATGGTATATCAAAAAGCGAAGATGAATGGACACAAATCTTCGTGTACTGCTTCATGTGCCTTAGATAGCTCTGAAGCCACTGAAACACTGAACCACCAAAACCAGTCGAAGGCAACTTACAAGTAAATCATGGTTCACACAGACCAAGGCCTTGAGCAAGTCTGTGTACATGGCATCAAGTTGTCTACCAGTTTCTGTAGCATCAATCACATGTCTTTTGTAATCCACAAAGTTAGTTAAAGTAGATCTTCCCTTAATGAAACCATGTTGCATTGGTCTGATCAAACTGTCAAGCAGTGCAGAGATAACCTTTGTAACCTTCTTTTTAAATGGCTTGGAGATTCCACTCAGTATTGTTACAGGTCTCTCTAGCTAACAGTCTCGAATTTGGTACCCTTTTCATTTAACAGCTTTTATTATATGTGAACAGCAATTATTTTTGAACAGGTTGTAGAATAATCTACACGGATTATTTTCTTTCCGCTGTTTGTGTTAATGTTTTAGTTTATTTGATTAACAATGTTTCAACTTCATGCAAAAATGATATAATTTAATTTCACTGAAATCTCTGTTTAAATATTTATTTCAAAACTTGCTAGAAGGAAGGATTTGAAAATAATAATTTTCAAATTATTCTATTAATTTTTTAAAACTATAAAATAATAAAATTTGTTTTGTTTTATTATACCATTTTGTGCCTTTGTTTTTTTGTCGAAAGTAATATTTCAAGTATTGCAGGATACTCCCATTGAACAAGATATTAAAATAATATTAAAATAATTTGACAACTTGGACATCAATACTTGTCAAAATATTTTTGAGCTCTAAAATGAGTGTGAAAATATTTTGACCCACATTAGTGCATAGATGTAGGTGTTGTGTTGCCATCCCATGATAAAACTCAAGGGCACCTGTGTAACCTCTTGAGGGATATCTTATCCTAAAATAAATATTCTTCAGTATTAATAGTGTATGTCTAACCATTCCATATTGCACTAAGAACTTCTGCAGTTACATGGCAGTTGTTTCTGTCTCACTGTAGTATTCTGTTGTTCAAAACTTGGTTAGCTATTTAGGGGATGTATATTGAGATGTTTTGTTCTGTTCAATAGTTATTTTACAGTTAACAAACATGATCTAATAGTTTTGGTTCAAGTGATTGTGTGACTTTTTTTTTCAGTGATACTTTTCCATTGCCTTATTTTACTACCTGATGCCTGATTGCTGTTCCTAAACTTGCTCATACGATTTATATTGTGCTTTTTAGGTATCCAAAAAACCAGAGAGACCTCCCAGTAAATCCCAGTTAAGCACAACAAATCGTATTAGGGATACAATTACAAAACCTTCAGCTCCTAGTACTTGTAAAAGTGAACCTGCAGATGTAGTAGCAAATAGGAAATCCCAAGGTATGTCTGAATGTATCTTGTGTTGTGTACAAGAATGGTTCAAATAGTCTAAAATATTTAGAAATTTTCAGAACAATAACTTAATAAGTATTAAAAGAAAATTTGGAATGTTTGAGAAGTAAAAATGCGGTCTTTGAAAGAATTGTTCGCTTGTAAGGTTTTACTCAATTGCATTTCTTTTGTAAAATTTTTTAATACAAATTTTAAATCACCGAGGGGAGTTATGCAATATTTATTTGTTTAGAATATAATCTTATTTGTTTTAATTATTAATTTTTTTAATGAAAAGTAATGTTTTAAAGGTAATGTGTTTATTTCACTCTAAATTCACTTCTTTAATTATTTTTGTATTAGTTTGAAAGTTTTTGAGTAGTTTTGTACCCTTGCATTCTGCAAACTTAGCGAATATTGGTTAAAAAAATTTCAACTACATAAATTTTCTGTTGTTGAATAGTAGAATATATCTGCAGACATTCAGGATCATATTTTAAATTGCACTCAATTTGAACCACTCTTGTTTAGAAATACAATTTTGTTATGTGGCAGGTTGAACAAATTGACAACTTATATTTTCTCTGTTACTGCAGGGTCTTAAGATCCACATAAATAAAAATTAATATTTAAAGTAATTTTTAAATTTCCAAAACATTCATTATCATCAGCTTCAGCATTATCATTGTATTTGTGTCCTTTATTTAGACTCAAATCAAATAACTGCAGCCTATATAACCCTGTAGCATCTTCATAAAAATTTAACTACCATATTCACCCAAATATAAGACTTTTTTCCAAATATCTCATTCCAAATATACTGGGTCGGATTATATTCACAGATTAAGTGTAGTCAATTAGGATTTCTTTTTAGTGTACCTGTCAGTATCATGAAATTTGTAAATGTAAACATAACAACAAACAATGAAAATATCACATGCCTCTGTAATTCGAATTAATTATTTTCGCTGATGTATTCTCGATATCCACTGTGAAATTGCTGGACAATTCAGGCCTATATTTTTCAAATGGGGTGTTAAAGAGATAATCTCGAATGAATAGCACTGTGTGAAGGGAAACACAATGTGAAAATAAATAAAAAATTGTTTCTGAAATTTATTCCATGATTGAAGACACATTATTGCACGGACTCTTGTTTTGACACCTGCTGAAAGGAAATCTACATGTGAAGACATGGAAACGAAAAAGTCCACTTTGATAGAAGTACTCATTCTACATTAAACTATAGAAAAGAATGATTAAAAAAATGTTATCTCAGCAAAAACTTCCCAAACTTAAAAACTTTCCACTATCTCCCATACTATCTGCAAAACGGAGGTTGCAGTTGACAACTCAATCTCATAAACATTAAGTGATATGAATTTCAAATATGTGCTGATAAAGAGTGTGAGGGAACTTAAAAAATCGAAAGGCTATGACCAAGAGTGGGACAGGACATAAATGTGGTGACACAGAAGGGAGTGTTCTTAGACGGTGTCAGATGAAACAATAAGAACGTAAATTGAATGTGAAAATCTTTCAGCGTGTCCTAAATAGTCGGTAGTGGAGAAGAGGACCAAAAAGAAAGAAACAATCATACATGTAAAGATAAAGTAGATAGTGATAAAAATCCTAATTATCATAATTTTGTTGAACAAGAAAATAATGATAGCTCAGGCAATACATTCTCATCATGAAGACAATTTTCTAGTCAATTAGGCAATTTGCTCTTTTATATTTACTAGAAGGTAAGAATAAGGTACAAATATAATAAATTCTCAAGAAGCCTCTTCAAAATTAGGGGGCCATCTTATATTCAGAGTCAACTTATATTGGGTAAATATGGTATTTTCTTTTTGTCTTCAAAATCATGTTGATAAGAAACATTCTCTATGAAAATGCGATAGAAATTCAGAGGCAAAATTAGAGGACAAATAATTTGACTTATCAGTTTATATATTATAAAAATGAGAAAATAAATTTCCATCAAAAGTTGTTTATGTTTTGTTAGTGTTTATATTTTGTCAGTTACCTTTTTGTTATGGCAGCATAATTTTCTGTATTCTGAGGTAGTATTGAATGTACAATTAAGAACTTTTTTTTATCTTCTGTGAACAAGTAAAAATTATGTAGTAAGACAAGAAATACTATTTTAGTAGTATTTTTTTGTGTAATTGTAGTGTAGATTGTAATTTTCCTTTATGTTTTGGAGTAATGTTTTGAAGAATGGCATGCTTTGTGACAGGTTCTGAAGGTATTGCTGTTAATTACAGTTTTGAATATTGGATGGGAAAATTATTGTTATTTCTTCGCAGGATAAATGGAGAAATTTTGAATTTGATATTAATTGTTCACTTAGCAACTGTTTGACTAATATTTATATTATTAGTTATAAAATATATAATCTTTATCCCTTCCTTTACCACACACTACAGTTTTAGTATCATTTTAAAATGGGATTAATCATAACTTTTAAGTGAATTAGGTTAAATTGAGAAAACGTTGCACAATAACAATTGTAATTTTTGTGTGATTTTTTTAGTTTAGACTGTGAAATGGGATTGCTTGCTTGGTTGTTGGTTTTCTTTCAGCATTCTCTTCATGTACTTTTGTTATGAAATAACATGTGGAATGATATTTCACTCAAAGTGAAACCTAGCTATGCTCTGATGTTTCATTTTAGTGATTAAATTAATGTGCTTTTTGGTATTGTAATCTTTCTCTGGTGACAATTATTTCTTTTCTTTGTGATCTTTTTTACTGCTTATGAACTGAACATTTTAATATTCTGATTTTATATGTGATGCTTCATTAACGGATGCTTTTTGAGCAATCATGCATACTTCTGAACTCTGTTTCAAAAATACCATAAATAGTATAAATAAAATAATTCAGGGAATAAAGTTTATTGTTTCAATTTCCACACAGTGAAATCTTAAAACATTTTATTTTTCAATAATCAGTGGTACGACTCAACAATTACAAGAATGTAAGGTCTTGTAAATGTGTGGAGGCAGATGAAAAACATGTACAAGTGAGTGAATAAATATTTGAATTTAAGAGGATTTAATTAGAATTTTTTAGAGGAATGTTTTCAGCAGTATGTTAAAGGTGGATCTTTCAACAGTTAATAAAATGAAGGTGACTGACTAAACTAAATAAATACAAAAATACTAAATCTTTTATTTCTAAATTTTATTTTATTGAAATCTTGTTTTATCTAAGTAGTTCCATTTTGTTTAAAGTTCAGATTTGTCCATATGAACTTTAGTGTGTGATTGCATTATGTTTGATTTCTTAAATTTTTACATTTTTGGAAATGTCAAATTAATATTAAGATCTGTGTAATATTGTTTAAGGCATAAGCAAAAAACAAAGGATAAAATAAGTATGTACATGTTCTAGTTGATAAATATTTGGAGATTATTGTAATGCATTTCTTTTCTTGTAGTTAGCATCTTATTTCAGACTGCATACCCTTGATGAAGCAACCTCGATGTACCATTTTTCTTATCAAATATTGTGATATGTGTTATCCACTGTTTTTTCTATTCTACTATGTGTTATTTATGTATTGGTTTGAATATTTGTTTTGCAAGTGATAAGTTGATGTTCTTTGCATGAATTCTAGCTCATTGTCACAAATAACATTAGAAAGCAAACTAACATTCTATCTCTATTTTAATCTATCTTGGTAGAAGAAAGTCATCATTTTGTTAGGATTCCTACTGTTTATATTTGTTATAATAGTAGTTGTAGTACTAGTGATATTACTGATAATAATCATAATGATAATAATAACAATATTAACAATAATAATTATAACAACAATAACCAACAATATAATGATGCTAAGTAATTTAACTTGCTTTTGCAAGGCATTGAATTAGAGAAGCTTGATTATTTTAATGCTATCTTACTTATTTTTTTAAGGTGGAAAATATTTTGAAAAAACTGTACTGGAACTCATTAACCCAGTTATCTACCTTGGAAGATTGGATTTCTTTTAATCTGTCTTTATGTTAGATTGTTTTTTTCAATGATTGCTTAACCTAAATTCAGATAAACTTTATGCTTATAATTTTTGTAATTGTATTACCTTTATATAGGGAAAGAAAATAAGAATATAAAGGATTTGTAAATAATATTCTCTTGTTTTCTTTGTTCATTTCTTATTTAGTAGACAATTTTATGTATATTTGTTATGACATGGGTAGAAATAATTCCTTTAAAAATCTAATTTACATCATTAATTTTTCACCATCCACCATTCAATAGTTAATTTTAAATTCTTTACTACACTCTGTACTTGGAGATATTTTTTCTTTGCAGATGTAATAAAATCAGAAGTCATATATACAATTTTTCATTATATTTCTTAATGTGCTTTTGGTGACAATTTCTTTGAAATATTTTACATAACTTTCGAATATACATAATCTTGTGAGAAACATCAGAATCAGAAGTCTTCGAAGAATAACTATTTGTCTAAATGTACATAATAATTTGGTGTCTTCATTTATTAACTTAATAATGTGTTTGGCAATTAGCATCTTAGTTTCAGCATGTTTGTAAAAAAATGTGATCTTTAATGTCAAAAATTGTAATAAAAAGTAAAAATTAATATTTTAATTTATTTTAATCTAAATGGATTTATATTCTCCCTGTTTTATAAAGTAATGTTTCCATTGTTGTTTTTTTAGATGAGAAACCGCCATTTCCTCCGGTTCCTGGCAAGAAGCCACAACTCCCTCCACCAATTAAAAAGCCACAACGAATTGCAGTGTCACCAGGCAGTGTGCCAGGGGGTGTGAAGCATCAGGATCAGGAGCCCTCTCTGTCAGATCTTGTGGATGGAATAGGCAGTAGTAGAATAGCACAGAGTTCCAATTATGGTGTGCCTAAAGGTAATCGAGAAGAAGTACCTGAATTTGATAATGTTGAGCGAAGTGCAATGTTAAATCATCCAACTGCCAGCAGAGTGAAAGCTCCGCGTAGGAGATTGCCAACAAATGTCCACAGTAGAGAATCTGTAAGTTGAGAAATAATGTTCCTAGAAATTCAATAAGTATGAAATTATCCCTTCTTTTTTTTCTGCTTCTTTTTCTTCCTCCTCCTCGTCCTCCTCCTCCTCTTCCTCCTCCTCCTCTTCCTCCTCCTCGTCCTCCTCCTCCTCGTCCTCCTCCTCCTCTTCCTCCTCCTCCTCCTCCTCCTCCTCCTCTTCCTCCTCCTCCTCTTCCTCCTTCTCCTCCTCCTCTTCCTCCTTTTCCTCCTCCTTTTCTTCCTCCTCTTCCTCCTGTTTATTTTCCTACTTCTCCTGCTTCTTAATTTTTTCTTTGTGTTTTGTTATGAATACTCATAAAAATATTTTATAATGTCTGTTGCTGGACTTGAACCACAGTCCTTGTAAACCATCACCTTACATCCGCAATCACTGATGCAGAGAGAGTTGTTTACTATCTTTTCATAGACCAGTTGTTATTTATGTTACGAGTGATTAAAGTAGCATTTTATTTGGCAAGTAAGAAATGTTGTGACATGAAGGTGAGAGGCTGAGTGGCACAATCCAAGCAAAATAAAATCACTTTTCCCACATGTGTCATTCAACTCATTCTTACACAGCCTTACTGACATTCATTTTATTTTAATTCAATTATTTATGTTACATTAAGGTGTCACAGGTGTGTTACATTAGTGTTAAGGTGTATTGCATTAAGGTTTATCTGAAGATTAGCACGTTGTCTTACTTTTAGCACTAGTGCTAAAAATTAAACTTTTAGCACACTTTGCATTCCCTTTGCCTGCCCCCTTGCAAAGTAATCGCTCTTACTAGGGACTGTTTTCATAAGAAACTTTCTGCTATTTCGGCCAAAATAGCCTTTTTTCCATCTAAAATGAAATTTTTATTACAAATTTGAGTATTTTACAATTAGGTAAATGTGAAATTGGATACTTATTGATATATAGAAAGAATAATTTTATATTGTTCTTCACCTCTTACTTACTTACACTTACTTTCATAACACTATCACACATGTAGAGACTGCAGACGTAGAGCTTGACATGGCTGGGGAGATGTCAGCTAGGGGTGCCCTGCTGGAGGAAGATACCTGGTTGGGAATGAACCCCACAAGTTGACGGATAGGTCAGCACCACATCTTGCCATATAGCAGGGGAAGATCACTACCATTATGGGACTAATGACCTGAGCAGTTGATGTGCCGTGCATTACCAACTATTCAATCATTTTATTGACAATGCTCCAATGATGACAGTAAAATGTGGATGTAAATGCCAGTGAGAGTGTCCTGCCCTTGTGCCTGCCTGTGATTGGGTTTGGTTTGGTTTATGTGCAATATGGAAGGTTTCTGTTTTTTGGTCTGTTGTAAGAGTCGTTATCCTCTGTTTTGAGTTTTGTCATTTGCAGTTTCTTCATTGGAGTGTTTTCTACTCTTAAATTTTTAATGTTAAATTTGAAATATAATTTGTAAGAATTGGCTGAAGTACTTACAAATTTCACATTGTTCCCCATTTAGATTTTTGCATCATTTTTCAAAAAAATGTTTCAAAATATTGTAGACAAATTGTGTCCATTGTAAGTTATGAAAAAGAGTTGGTGAAAAGCTTTTTACCTAACAGATCAGAAAATTGAAGCATTATGAAATAAGGAAGGGAATGATAATTGCTGAATAGAGAAATAAACCATGCAGGAACAGTTTTGAAAAGTTTGAAACATATAATAAAGAGGTTCACTTTTATTACTCTTCTGAAACGGTTGACATTTTGTACGCTCACGAAGGTTTGTTATCATGATTTTAGGAAACTCCTGTTGGCCTAATGAATGGTAGTGCACTTGGAAGCAGTCAAGAAGAGGATTTAATTATGAAAAATAATGGAATACCAAGTCGACTTTGGGAAAACAAGAGTAAGGCTCCTTGGATGGAAGAACTGAAAATGAACCAAGCTAAGAAATCAGGTCCATTGAAAAGCCCATCCAGTATTAGTAGTATTCACAGTAGCAGCATTCCTGATCAACCTTCAGTACCAGAAACTCTTCCTATTTCTAGTAAGTATGATTTCTTCCAGAACAATGCTCTAGTGAACTTGATGGTGTAATTGTTTTTCAGATGTTTTACACTTGACTGCAGTTATTTTAGTGTGCTTTATTTACCTTTCAGGTACTGCTCGTCATTCCATCAGTGGTGAAATAAACATTCCAGGTGTTTCAGATATTACTCTGAAATCCAGTTTGAGTGGTGGGGGCAAAATAAAGAAAGACATTAGTAGTGATCGTCAGCAGACTCCACATGTCAATGAGTCAAGTGGAGCACTTACCAAATCACATTCCTTAAGTTCTTCCATAGTATTGGGTTCTGAAGAAGTATCTGATATGAATCAAGCTCATCAGAACTTGAAAAGTTCTATGAAATCAGTTATACATCCACCTGTTATGTCATCCTCTAACATTACTTCAAAAGTGGAAGGTGCTGTTGGAGATAGTAGTGCGTCTCCAGCATTGAGTCATAGTCAAGGAACCACCATACCAAGTATTCAGTATTTAGAGTTAATGGATAAGGTAAGATTTAAGATATGGGTATCTTTGATTTATTATTATATTTTTAAAACAAATATCTGCAGGTACTTGGGAAAGAAGTAAAGATATATGTTGTAGTTGTTATAGTTACTGTTGTATAACAGTATTTAGGAATAATTTGCCGTTTATCAGTCTGGGGTGGGTGTTCCAAACTAAAAGATTATATTATAAGTAAACAAGTGGATTAGTGGAATAAGTACCAAAATCTCAGCTCATACGAGATGAAAATGGATGGGATAATCAAGAAATGGCAATATCAATCAAATTGAAAGTAAATTTATTCTACTTATTTTATTTTACTTTGTATCATTTTATTGAATTGAATGACCATACAACAAACACATTTGTAGAGAAGTGATCGAATTTACTGAGCTATTGAGATATAAATAATGCTTTGCTTTTATATTGATTTTCTATGAATTTCAAGTTGTTTTGTAATTTTCAGTAGGTGTTATTACTTATCAATTAACAAATTCAAAGAAGTAGCTGGTATGAATAGATATTCTGACACTTCTTAAAAGTACACATTAGAGTAGCTTATCTATAACCTATTGCAGTCAGATGTTTTACTAAAATAAATGTCCCACAAGTCGGAAGGCAACTGTTAGATAACACAGCACCAATGGCTTCCAACTTGGAGGTTTTGGAAAAGAGGCTCACTGTACAGATCACAGGGCTTCTCTCTAGTGACACCGTTCAGTCCCTGGTTCAGCTGGAAAGGCACCTTAGCAATGCCAGTTGCTTTTTGTTCATAGTTCTAGAAAAGATCTCCATCAACAATAAAACAGCAACCTGTACCGTAAATAGACGATCCGTCAAAATAAATACAGATGATATCTGTAGTGACAGAAAATAGGAGAGAAAATGTTATATAAATGAGTATCATAAAACTTGCTGTTGTAGGCATATTAGTTGAGAGAACATTTAATGCTGTCATTTCAAGCATGCCTAAAAAATGCTAAGGATTCAAATGATTTAACTTATGGTTATGTCCTACGAATGGGCAGCTGTAGGCATTGTTTGGTCCTAAATTAAACTTGCAAAATTTTCAATTTTATCTATTAAGGGATTGTGTTTGTAAAAAGAAAAAAACTTATCTCAGAATACTGATTTCACATGACTTCATTCATCAAATAGATTGAGAGGGCTACAACTCTTTCAGAAATAGCAAAGCTACCAATTTGGTATTAATATAAAAACCTTTTGGCATTAAAATAATTGGTTCTCTATTTCTTTAACTATTGATCTGGAATTTTGTGTTCTGTTTTCTTCTCTTTTTTCCAAGAATTGCTTTTATAGAATATAGCTACTTCTAAAGACCTGTTTTCTGCCAAAAACTTCTGTCTTGTCCATTAGCTCTCAGAGATGATGTTGACCAAATGTTGTCTGCATCAGGCCTGTGCTCGCATTGACCTGGGCAGATTTCTCAGGAGTGTTGAGGCTAAAATGTATTGAAATCAAAAATTGACTCTCTAGTCATGTGGGTATCTAATTTTAGAGATGTATTAAGATTGAAACTAAAACTTTACTAATGGAAACATTATTCATAATATCTTATTAGAACTACTTAATATCTTAATTCCATTCCCAAATTATATTTTTTCTGAAAATACATTTGGAGGTCTGTTCAAAATGTCTCTCAAACACATAATATAAACATATTTCATAATATATTAGTGATGGGACATATATTTTTATTATTTCTACCGAAATATTGCCTATCCTCATATGAGGATGCTGTGCATTCGAGTTCATCATTATTCAGGTATGGAGAAGATGGTGATTGGGTAAAGGGAAAACCTTTGTTTTGCTTTTTAACTTCTTGGGATACTCATGAAGACAAAATGCAGGTGCTAAAATGGATTTGAAACCATCTCACAGAATGTTCTAGACTTCTTGGGGCAACCCTCCAATGCACATCATACCTGTTTTTATCTCTTTGGTATGACTTAGCCCTGCCCATCAAAATTCATAAGGATTGTCAATATGATCAATATGAATTCAATGATAGTAATTGTTAAGTCCATTTGCATGTAGCGCTTGAGCTAGTCAAAAAAGTATTTGGAGGGAAGGAGTCATTTTCACTTCAGACACCCACATTATTTGTTAATAATAAAAACTTGTTATTGTCAAATAAAACTAGTGTAACTACAAAAGATCCAGATTATCTGCTATTATGTAGTTTCCTGTTTTTTGAGTTGGTGCTCCATTTTCAATCCACTTCCCAGTTACCATCCATTGGCACGTGAAATTACTTTTTTTAAGAAAGTTAGCAAGTATGATAATTTTTTGGGGGAGGGGGAGAGTGTTAAAAGTACTTGTATATATATTTGTATTACTGTAGAATTGGGAATTATGTTTGTGGAATTTGAAATATTCTTCCTTCATAAGTGCCCATTTTTAAGAATGTTTAAAGAAACTTGTTTTCTACTTTACATCATTCTCAGTGTAGATTCCTGTATAGATTTCACTCATATATTTGGTTTTAGTTATAGCCATATTATTAGTTTTTCAGCTATAGCAATATTTTGATTTGGGGAGATAGCTATGTTAAGATATTATTGCAATGGGAAAATTTCTGCTTCTTGATCCACATTAGGTGTGCGTTATTAAATGTGTGAAAATATGAGCAAGTCCCACAAAATTTAAAAAAGTTAAAATTGGAGAATTTAGAAAATAATAGTGTCATTATTTTTAAAACACATTTTTAAGTGGATGTGTGGAAATCTCAATGAATAACACACACAAAGATATTTCAGAAAGTAATGTGTAATAAATTGAGTATTACCATTTTTCAAATGATGCAAAGTAACTTGCTAATTTGTCTTGTGCTGATTACTGGTTTCTATTTAAGCTCGATTCAACACATTTTATTTGATTTACTGAAGAATTCCTTCTTTCTCTTTTATTGTCATGAATTTGTCATTGACGTTGTTTTCAAAGGCATAAAATGGCATTACATTTGTATTACAGATTGTGAAATTAGAAAAGAGCTTAGAGCAGCAACGAGCAACTTTTACCCAAGCAATTAAAGAAGTTACTGAAAAATTGAATGAAGAAAGAAACAGACGGACACACCTCGAACAGGAATTAGATAAATTAACAAACTTGGTGACACAAGTGTAAGTTGCCGCTGACAATGAAGCATTTCCAGTATTGGTGATTTAGCTTTACCAAGTTTTTTCAAATGGTTTAAAAGAAGATTGTGTGTTTTTGTTCAGCGTTATGATTGTTAATAATTCTTAATATTTGTATTGATATTTTTCAACTAGCACTTAATGTATTTAAATGAGAATAAGAATGTAATGGTCATTAAATCAAACATTTAACCTACAGCAATTGTAGGTCAGTTATTTTAACTCGTTTTATTACAAGACTATTAATTTTTAGTTAATTTTTCCCTTCTTGCAGCATGACTGAACGTTTGATGTGCTTTAGAAGACCTGTAAGTAATGGGAGAAGCTGGTTGTGATTTTATTTGTTGACAATTTGTGAATAATACCATGATAATAAATGCTGAAATTTTTGTTTAATTTCAGAATGCCTATTAGACTTTTTAAACGTGTTGCCTGTAGTAATGGAATTTAGCATAGATGATTTGCAATGCAAAGAGAACCACTCTCTACCTACTTTTCTTCAGAAAGTGAAGTAGCTTTTAGAGCAAATTTGTATTATTGGTTAGAAATGTATAATTTTTGAGATTGCTCATAATTTGAGAATATACTGCCATTGAAGTACATGTTTAGAAAATATTATTTTTTGTATCTGAAATAAATATTTTGGAAAGTTGTGAATGATAATGCCACAATATAAATATCTGTCAATTATTGACAGTACATGCTGTGCTTAGTTCAGAATTTTATTTTACAATTAGTGTTTTTGCGTTCAGTACTTAATTTATAATATGATACGTGCAATAATGAGCATATGCACTTGTTTTCTTGTAAGCAAAAATTGCTGGTTACATAAATTAATGTGAACTAGTTACAATAATCGGAAGAGATAGATTTTTGCGTTATTATAAATTGTTTTGGATTTACATTATAAAATTACTTGCTTTCTCTGTATTGAAGATAATAAAAGTACTGTAAATCATGGAGTTTATGATCACTGGAAAAGAATTTGTATTTCTTTTATCTTTGCTAATCTCGAGGAAGACTGAACACTTATTAATACTAAAGAAGTTTTGTGAAAATAGTTTTTTCTGTAATATTAAGAAAAAATCATTGTATGCATTTTTCAAAAGTACATAAAATGCGTTATTTATAAATTAAGAAAATTGTGAAATTTAGTTGATTATTGAAAATCGTACCTCTGTCTTGTAAAAGAAGTTTTCAGGTAATATATGGAAGAAGGATTGTAAGAAAGATACTAATTGTGATTGTCTGCTGCAAGATGATAATTGTACGTTAGTATGAAATAACTTACAAAACTGCCTGTCCTGATAAGGCCATCAGGAATAATCCATCTCTGTGTTCTTATCTGACTTATAAACTAGGTTTAAATTGTAGGCAGTAACAGCTTAATAAATCATGCTCCCTGGCATTAAATACTTAATTGTTTTAGGGACTTACATATGTGCATAGCTTCTCTTGAAATCATTTGTTCAGTATTAGGTATAGAAGTGGAAATAAATTTGACACTCATGAAACTAAAGTGTTGGGTGTATTAAAACCAGTCTTTATATAAGATGCAGGATATACCAGTACTTAAATCTTACTTGGTAAAGTACTTATATCAGAAAAAAAAAATTATGCTGAAGACATAAAAGAAATGTACTAATAATATAAATCTTTGGAGCTGTGTTTATTTAATAATGACAAAGAATTAATAAAGAAATATTGTGGAAGGAAAGAGGGTATTCAACAAATAAATATGTTAGCATGCCTTCAGGCAATGTGTAGGTATGTTGCAGTTCAAAATTCAAGGCTAGATAACTCATCATAATAAACAAATTCAAGTATTTGTTTTTGTAAATTATATTGAATAGAGATATGCTCTGCAAGAGTGAGAATTAATTTCTTTTGTTGAACTCTTTTCCGTTGGTGTATGAGGGTGGGAAGTGGGGGAGACAATTTAAATTTGTCCAAAGAAGGCAGTTGGTGTATTAAAACTCTTTAAATTTTTTTTCCTCGGAGAACCAATGCAATTTTATTTTCCCAAGTTTTCAAATACTTTCTTGGAAGTAAAAATTTATAAACAAAGGACAGTAAAAAAAAAATCCTACCAGTAGGCTCATTATTATCTAGCTACTAGGTATGACCTATTGGATTTATGTTCTTGAGCTTTTTAAAATACATCAATTTGATTCAAAATGAAACGGATACAGAGAGAATAAGAACACACATCTTGCTTCTGAAAATTATAAGAACAAACTCTTTCATGGAATATTGTGGGATCATGATGCCTGTTGAAAGCCAGGGCAAATATTTGTGGTTATTGTTTATTTTCAAAAAATCGTATATTCAAAATAGTTTACATTACCTCTTGAAACAAAATCCTCAATTACAACAACCTGTGTATTGAAAATGAGGATTGGTGTAATTTGTTGGTCTCAAAAAAACTAAAATTGATCAACAATACACTTCTGTATATGTGTACAAGGCAGAGGACCCAGATAATGCCAATTTGTGAAGAATGCAGATGCACATTTTTAATTTATCCTTGCAGTTTTGTACTTCCAGGTCAGCTTGTGAAATGTTGTGAGTTGGTGTTAAAAACACTTTAATAACATTAAAAACTATGTTGGGGCAGTTTTCAAACAATTTGCTTATTAATTTTAAAGTAGCATTTTCTAAATTAATGCAAAAAGATGGACTTTTGTATTGGGAAGAGTGGCAAAGAAATTGAGTTACAAAATGATCCACTTTTTCCTTACGGCAGATGTTCCCTTAGGAACACCGCTATTTTGATAAGAAACCAGTTTAAATAACCTTTTTTTTGGCCTTTTGTGGATTTTAGTTAAGAAAAATAAGTTATTTTGGCCTTTCCAAAGAAAAATAATGAAAACACAAATTTTTATTATTAATAACGTTCTGGGTGAAATTATTGTATTGTTTGATACATACTCAGGAATGGCAAAGAACTATATAAGGCATATTGAATGTTGTAATTTTTGGTCATCAGACATTTCTGTATTCAGTATTATACCTGCATTCTGGTTGAAATTCTTTATGGGTGAGTTGATCGAAAACTAATGAATTGACAAACAAACATGCTTTATTATTGCTTTCATTGGTGGTTTACTTTGATAATACATCAATGTCTTACATATGCCAATCCCTTAGGAACTTCAACATTTTCGTGATTAACCTCGTTGGGGGGGTTAATCACAAAAATACAGATGCCCAAATTTGAATGTTTTGTTTGGAATGAGCTGTGAATCTAATGTCAAAGTTCTCAAAATCTCACTTTCATTCCTTTGGGATGTTCTGTGTATTATTATTATTATTTTCGTCAACTATCTCTTGATGATATTCAGTACAAATATGGTATTGGTGCTTTTGATTATTTGATTAATATTTTGAATTTTTGTTATCAAATTTGTGGTACTTTATCAATACAGTCCGGAAGTTTGGCAAAACACCTTTTTACTATTGTTACGATTTTAAGACTTTTATTTTAGGAATCTCTAAACTTTACTTGTGTTGTTTTATATGATTTTCAATTCACCTTTTCCTTCCTTTTCTGTCATTTCTTCCTGTCTTTAGTCCTGAATGAGTTGGAAACATACTTGCAAGTCTGGTGAACTTGAAGGCACTGTCACGTCCTCTGTAAACGTCTGTAGTCCCGATAGAGGCAAAGAGGTTAAATTAGGTTCAGGACCAGGAAGTGTGAAAAATTGCTATCAGGAAGCCAGATAATACTATTCAAAATTTTTGTATTTCTTTTATTGATGCCAACAGACTTTGTTTGCTCACAAGGAATCCCATCCTGATTATGACCTCCAATGCATTTTGAAGATGTAGCTCTCTGTACATTGTTTGCAATACAACCCTACTCAGTGCTCACATTAAAGAAGATTGAAAATTGGAAAGAATGATCATGTTTTCACTGATGCCGTTCTAGGATTCAAAGAGGAGTTCACAATAAGTTTTCTTAGAGACAGCATCCTGAGTCAAACAAAGCCATAATTCTCGTCCTGAAATTGAGTGTGCCAATAAGAATAATTTTCAATAGAGAAACTGAAAAATAATGTCTGATATATAGAGTTTGCAAAGTAAAATATGCTGGTCATGTACATAAGATAAAGAAAATATTGTTTCCTTTTGTGGAAGAATATAATTCTTTTTAATTATGTATTATGAATGTTTACAACGGATCCTTTTAAGCAGTTATTTTTCATTGTGTAAATGCCTTTTTTGCAATTTTGTTTCATTCAGAATAAATGCCTTTTTGTTTGCCTATTTTTGTCATAATACATGCTTTTTTTCCTTCCTTTTTTTAAGGTCGAGTAAATGCCTAAACTTCCGGGCTCTATTTACCATAAATTTCTTAATGCTTTTAAATAAAAGTTTGTCAGTTCATGGATAATGATTCCCTGCTTTGAGTATTATGATAGAAAATGCACTAAGTTTATAAACATTCATTTACTCATATAAATTTTGCATTTAATTTGTTGTGATACTTTTAAATTACACGATGTGACTGACTGAAGGAGAGATTGTAATGAAAATAACTGAATGTTCATGTTCCTCATTAGGAACTTCTTTTTTTAAAATAATTTTTTCATAACTGTTTTCATGCGTCAGCTACTTTCCTAATAATGCTAGTTGCCTGATCAATAACACGAAGGAAAGACACAGTTTACTATAAATTCACTAATAAATTTCTATATATTTACAAAATATTGTAATTTTATGATTAATAAATATTTAAGAAAGTTAACGGTTTTTCTAATTTTATTAAGTTTTATTAAAAATCAATGTCATTGAATTATATTTTTGCTTGTACATAGATTTCTAATTATGAATTACTGTTGTCTGGGATTTTATTGTAAATATATTAATGTTTTAAACAATACATGTGTATCTGTAAATCTGCATGCAATAACTAGTAAACATTTGTGAATTACAATGGATTATTGACAAAACTAAGAATCATTTCTGGTGATTCATTTTTGGGGCTGCATGCGCACATGCATGTTGTGTTTTTCAACAAGAACTGTGGATGATGTACGTGGTAGTAGGCATTAAAATTTTCCAACTTGAAGATGAAAAAGTTGTGGGATACTAAAACAATATCGGAATAGCATGTTGTTCCACCTTAAAATTATTGTTCAAATCATCTGCAACATTGATTCTAAATCAGACCCTCCAAACAATGGTCTCTGGGGCACATACTAACATCCAAGCTGTCTTGTGTGTTTCAATATCACTCTGTTAGTAGTTAATGCTAAGGTAGAATGACATTGTGTTTTTACAGTGAACTTATGCTTTGGTTCATACTGGTCACCAAATATGTAGCCATTGTTCTGCTGGCTTTCTTACATACACCCAGCCCTAATCCATAATATGGTTCTTGTTGTCTTTATAGATTAATTTTATAGAAAACAGAGATAAGACACTGGTATTAAATGAAAGTGGGAG